ATCACAGTAATTTTAAACAGAAAAAACACAATTATGCGTTACATGTACATGTAGCGGGAGCAGCAATAATGAAAACATTCTGACTCACTGTTGATGATGTTTATTACAGTTGTATAAAATAAATCATCATATACCAGATTCTGCAAAATAACATAAAATACATTTACTCAAGTTGATATAACATATAATAGCAGAATCTATTGTCATCATAAATCAAATAATTACTATATATTTAATTAGATTATAAAATATGAAATATTGACACATATCAATGAGTTATACCTCTTGACTTTAAATATACAAATGAAATTACTCTTATTAAAATCATAATAGTGGATATAATGACTATTTACAATTATATACTTGCTTTATGTACATATAGCAACATACCAGACTATGGGTATGAATCCCTCTCTAATACATAATTGTGTGTATGGCTTATGGATTATCAATATCTACAATTTATAAATAACATCCGTTCACTATATATTATATTCTTTGTGTCATAAAATAAATTTATTACAAAGTTTAAAATCAACTAGTTTATCAGCTTTTGACAAACTTAAATAATTTAATAAATCTCTCATATGCCTCTTTCATTCAGTAATTAATAGGAAAATATTAATATGAAATAGGAATGTCAAAAAGTCAACTTACTGTCAGTGGTCTAAAGATTTCTACAAAAAATACAAAACACAACTATACACATTGACTGCTCCTTGGCTTGTAATTAGCTGGACACACTGGACAAACGGGGTCAAAGGTTTTGGCGGGAAATATTGACCAATGGCTATTTTTACTTATGTTTTTATTCAAGGTTAAAAGTTAATTTTTAAGTTTAGGGCTCTAGAGATTTCTAGACTTTAATCAGAGTAATTTGTTACAAGTTTATTTACATGTTTATTGTTTAAATAAAACATATTTATTTTAAATCAAGTTTATTGTTGAAAGTTATTTTATAACTTTCAATGGCATCTGAAAGAAAAATACTATAAATTAAAATCAATATAAAGTCAATACTATCACACACTTCCCCTCCTTTTAAATGACGTCCTCGTCATCTTATCTCTATAGAAGTGTGAACGAATACCGGGGTAATCTAAAATTAAAAATAAAATCAGGGTGAATTATCAGTCATAAAAAATCATTTCTGCAACAGGATTTCGAGGAAAGTAAAGGACAGCTGCTTCTGGTCTACACCAGAGAGATGGTTATCTGAAACAAGAGATTTTAAATAATTACATTTTAATATTTAATCTGGATCTTTAACTGGTTGTACGGACATAGAGTATTCTCCTGTCTTCACCCAATCAAGTTTAGTCCTCGATCTTAATGGTCTTGTTCGCTTTTTCAGGTTTTTTGGGCAAATCTGCTTTCTGGATACCTGCAGCTTGATTTTCAGTTTCAGTTTCTTCTTGATTGTCAGCTTCTACATTTTCATCATCAGCCTGTTGTTCTGCAACAACTTCAGCTTCTTCAACATTTGAATCCTCATCTTGCAGAGAAAGACTTTCAGTCCCTGGCTCACAATTCTGGGGAGCATCAGATATGTTGCTCTTTTCTTCAAGAGTGAGAGCGTCCTCTCCCACATCTGTGTCTTCATCAGCTGGGACCTGACCGTCGTCAGTCTGATCTGCACCAACACTTAAAGGAGTACGGTTTCTTTCAACAACACGGTTTGGTGGACGTGGTCCGGTCCATATAACTTCTTCTTCACTGCTGTCACTAAATTTTGTTTTCTGTATCCGGGGTGTTTCTCTTCGTCTTTCTTAGTAATCTCTTTCTGGGTCTAGGAGTAGGTCTTATAACTCGTGGTTCTGTTGGTTGGAAATCCAAATTTCCAATAGGCAAGAGAAGGTTTCTATGTACTGTTCTCTGTCTTACAGAACCTTCTTCTTTTACGACATAAACTGGAATGGGGAAATTTGGTTGATCTTTAATAGTGTATTGTGTTGATTCCCACTTGTCAGATAGTTTATGCTTTCCATCAAAGCTTGTAATCTTTACCAAAACTCTGTCACCTTTTTCAGGAATAGATGATCTAACTTTCAAATCGTAGTTACGCTTCTGTCTTTCTTGAGCTCTTTGGTTTGCTGCTGTGGCTAATTGATAAGCTTCTTTTAATCTGGAATTTAATGATTCAACATATTTTGGAATTGGCATTTCTGAAGAAGATGTTGGTATGTTGAAAGCAATATCTATTGGAAGTCTTGGTTGTCTGCCAAAAATTAAGAAAAATGGTGAATGTTGAGTTGATTCTTGCTTCATACAATTGTAGGCATGAACTAATGGTCCAATATGGGATTTCCAATCTTTCTTCTGGTCAATGTTCAAAGTTCCTAACATCTGATGAACTGATTAAATAATACATCTGCGGTGGTCTTAGCAGTTTGGTTCTTGGTTGGAATTGCTTGGGCATACTTGGTGAAGTGATCTGTAATTACTAGAATGTTTTGAAAATTGCCCTTGGAAGATTCTAAAGTCAAATAATCTATACACAGTAGCTCAAGGGGTTGAGAAATTGTAATATTTATCAATGGAGCTTTCTCTGTTTGAGCTTTTCGTAGAACGCATCTGTTGCATGACTTGATGTAACGTTCGATGTCCCTAGTCATTCCTATCTTGAATAATGGCTGTTGATTTCTCTCTACCAGGATGTCCCATATCTGTATGTAAAAATTTGAAAACTGCTTTCCTACAAGAGAGTGGTAAAACAAGTTGATGTCTCATGGATTCGCCATTTCTTGTTTTTCTGAAAAGAATTCCATCATTAATATAAAATTTAACAAAATTTCTGAGCATAGCTTAATGAAATGGAATGTTGCTGCTGGGGAGGTTCTCTTTCCTGGGAGGTATTCCTGTTTTGACCTGGAAAAACCAAAAACGAATATCTTGGTCTTTGCACTGTTCTCTTTTGATGTTGAAATCTGAAAATTTTGAAAGTTCTGATTGAATTTACTTATCAGTAACATCTGGTGAAATAGACAAACATTCAATAAATAGAATGTTGGCATGATGAACATTACAAATACTTTTAATTGTTTCAACAGAAATCTGTTCTCTGTCACGAACATCTGAAATTTCAGGCAATCATGAAAGTCCATCTGCATCTTCGTTGCTTTTACCAGGGCGGTAAAAAATATTAAAGTCATAGGTGGCTAAAGAAGCAATCCATCGTTGAGAAGTAGCATTTAACTTTGCAGTAGATAAGACGTATGTCAATGGGTTGTTGTCAGTTATTACATCAAAAGTTGTTCCATACAAGTAATCTGAAAATTTTTCTGAAATTGACCATTTAAGAGCTAAAAATTCAAGTTTATGGATAGGATAATTTTTTTTCAGATTTGGAATGACCTCTGCTTGCGCAAGCAATGACACGTTTCTGTCCGTTCTGCAGCTGGTATAAGATGGCTCCTAATCCTTTCTGGGATGCATCTGTGTGGATCTCATATGGTTGACCATACATGGGAAAACCTAAAATTGGAAAATGAATTAAACTTTTTTTTTAATTTCTGAAAGGAAATATCTTGTTCTTTTCCCAGTGCCAGTTTGGTGGTGATGTATTTGCAGCCTTGGAATTTCTCCTGATCTTCTTTGAGGAATCTGGAATTAAATTGGTGAGAGGTTTAGCTATCTTTGAAAAATCTTTAATAAATTTCCTATAATACCCAACAAAGCCTAAAAATTGTCGAACTTGATCTGGATTGATAGGTGTTGGCCAGTCTTTGACTTTCTGGATCTTTTCTTGGTCAGGTTCAATTCCATTTTCTGAGACGATATGTCCTACATACTTGACCTTTTTCTTGCAGAATTCACATTTCTTAGGAGGTAATTTCAAGTTGATTTGTCGTAACCTCTGAAATATCTGTTCTAGTCTTTCAAGATGTTCTTCAAATGTGTTGGAAAAAATAATGATGTCATCCAGATAGATGTAGCAAATCTTGAGATGTAATCAGTCAAATGCTTCCTCCATGAGTCTTTGGTAAGTTGCCGGAGCATTGCATAGACCAAATGGCATCCGGTTAAACTCGTAAGGGCCAAGGGGACCAACGGTGAACGCTGTCCGCTCCTTGTGTTTCTCAAAGAACTTTATCTGGTGATAGCCATTCTTCATATATAGTATTATGAAGAACTTGTTATTAGAGAGAGCTTCTAAGATTTCATCAGTCCTTGGTAAGGCATAGGAATCCTTTTTAGTTCTATTATTTAGTTCTCTGTAGTCAATGCACATTCTTAGAGTCTTATCTTTCTTTCTACACAGTATGACATTACTTGACCAAGGTGATTTTGATTTCCTTATAAGTCATGCATCAATCAGACCTTGAAGATGGTTTTTGACTTCCATGTACATATTTGGTGGAATTTTTCTGGATTTTTGTTTGAAAGGTGTTTCGTCGATTAGCTCTATTTTATGTTGGACTAGCGTGGTATGTCCGATGTCTGTGTCTGATGATGAAAATACATCATGATACTTCTGGAGAAGATCAGTCAGGACTTGTCTCTCAGATGTTGTTGAGCTCTCATCTATGTGAAGTAAATTCAAGTTGTCGTTAGAGTTGTCTCCCTTAGATTGTGTGATTTCTTCTATGTTGACGGGATGTATTTCACACAATATGGCCTTTGGAGATATGGTGACTGTCCTTGTTGTAATATTGTCAATTTGTACGGGAATCAGTTTGTCACATGGATATTGGTTGTTAACTACAGATGGTACTATGTCTAAGTCCACAGGAATTCTAGACCTCGGTGTTGCTTGTAAAAGTGCACAAGTTGCATGATAAGGTACTGCTTTGTCAAAATAACCTTGTATTTTGGGTGTCCACAATGTGGCTCGAACCTACGACCATATTTTAACTGAATATTAGTAGTATAAAAACGGTATTTTGACTTTATTTTTATAAAAGTATAAACCAAATAATTAGAAAAATGTCCCTATACAGTGCCCTTTTTTATAGAAAAAAAATTATACATAGACTTTATACTTTATGAAAATCTTTAATTGTAATTGTTGCGTTAATAATTTGTATTTTAAGTTGCTGAAACAATCCCAATTCAAAGATTTATGGCATACATGAAAAATGGGAAAACAACAGTTCGTCATGCACGTGGGATCGTGGTTGGATGTGCTGGAGCAGGAAAGACGACACTACTGTACAGACTAATGGGGAAAAGTCTTGACGAAATTAAAGAAATAAAATCCACTAGGGGGCTTCATGTCTACGAACATTTATTTTTGGTGAAAAATGAAGATTTAATTGGTAAAATATATTTGATATCTATTTATACATGTATCACCTGCAGATGTCTTGATCTGACATTGTATTTATTTAGCCTTTAATATGTGTCCACTTTTCGTTCAAAGTTGCTTTCTTTTTTAAGTTATATTCTTAAGTTTTATTGTAGCAAGTGAAGACTATGTCTTAAAGAAGCGACTGATTAGAGTTCCAATTTCTGCACTTAAACAGAATATTAATGTTGATTTATTACATGCATTCAATGAGAGAAAAATTCAAATCAGTGCCAGTTTGCGAAGTGCTCAAAATGATACGTTGGCTGGAAATGAATTTGGCAAAAACCCATCGACTTTGCACAATTTGTCATTGGATAATGATGCAAATTATACACAACTGACACAGGACTTGATGAAAGAAGTTTTAGATGCCAGGGAAAATGAAATAAGTGTCAGCATAATGGATTTCGCCGGACAATTTGCTTATTATGCTTGTCATCAGATCTACATGAGGTCTGAAGCATTCTACGTCCTGGTGATGGATATGAGTAAAGCTTTCCATGATGTTATTAACAGTACAACAGATCAGCACCAAGAGAGATCTATCTTCAATACATGGTCCTACAAAGGTATTAAATACGTATATATTTCACTTCACTTATAAACTGTTCTTTTGAGTTAAACAATATTGAATATATTAAAGGCTTTTAAACATGATTTTTAAAAGTTGCATAACTTTATTTGATGGAATTCTGCTATTGAAGATAATTTCGTTGAATATGATGTTGGTCAATAACACACAAGAAAAATCATCATACCGACAAGGCTAAGTGCTTTGTAAGATCAAAATATGAGGATTCAAAGTACACTATTGTTTTATAAAAAAAAAAGACAATTATATTATGCCCAAAGACCTTACAATTGCATTCTTCTGTTTTAGTGCGAGTTTTGATGATTAAGAAAATACAAACCCTAGCTTCGTTGCTCACGATAGCCACTATGATTAAGCAACGATTTGTCATACGGTTTTCATAAAAGTTGATAGGAATGAAATGCAAATATGAAATGTCGACATTTTATTCTGTTATTTTCAAACACGAAAAGGAGTTGTGATACTAATGAAACACGGTGAGTGTGACTGGTCAGCAGGGGATTCTCACTCCTAAATGACATCGGACCCTACCTCTGAAGTTAAGAGGTCTGCATTTGCTCTGCTTTTAAATTGTTTTGTTAAATTAAATTGTCCGATGATGAAACAATTGAGCACCATCTGTTTAACATACAGTATATAATATAAATGATTTTATTCCATCACTAGATTATTTACACTTCTGGCTTGACTCCATAAAATCCTTTGGCGGAACTTCTGCTCAGGTTTTTGCTGTAGCTACGCATGCAGAAGGCAAGAATGAAAAGGTATTTTAGTACATTTAATTGGTATGTGGCTGTTGTTGCACTCCGTTACATTATATAAGAAAAAACAAGACCTGTATCCCAACTCTGATGTTTCGGTTTTCCGTGTTTGCTCTGCTCTTATTTTGTATTGTTTAATGTACTTCGAGATTAAATAATGTTCGTTGTCTCTATATCTTTCTTTGTTTTGTTGAACGAAGCAATGTAATTTTGAATAACTCTTGTCCGATTAATATGTTAGTATGATGAAGAAGGATATGGAGATTACGAACAATATTCAATCTCAAAGTCTATAAAACAATACAAAATACGAATCACACTAGTATTGCTTGAGAACTTTAAAACTAAGATTTATTTCATTCTAAAACATGCATAACGCCATTATTTTTTTTTGTCGATTCCACTCTTTACTCTTACCTATCGAAATTACAATTTTTACATTAAGTGCTGCCAGGTGACCAAACTGCTAATCTCTTCCACAGCTTAAGGGGGGTGTACGCCACCTTTAGTGCAGTGAGAACAAAATGTAAACATTTCTTCAAATGGCTAAAATACATTGTATTTTGTTCAAATTTTAAGGCCTTATGATAAAGATACGATAAATATGCATAACTGAATGTATGTTGTGCATATGCAATCTATACTTTTGCAGAAAAATGCTATTGATATGCTCCTTAGAACTGCGCAGCTACAGAATTCAGCAGAGGCTTAAAAAATCCAAAAAAATATGCAAACTGTGCATTCATGTTCTCTCTACAACCATTTGTTGAGAAAATGTCTACATTTTGCACTTTTAAATGATAATTTCAAGTTCAAAACAAGGAACCGTTGTCTTCAAAAAGAGTGTAAAGAACCATGAAAGTAGTTCATGGATAGCAGTACGAGGTCTATTTTTAGCACAGAATTTTTTGTTTCCAGACCTCTTCTTAATATGGAGGGACAAAACAGTCTTAAGATGAAGAAAAGAATTACAGTTGCCAAATATTTCAAATAATATGAACACGTTTAAAAGAGGAAGTGTGCTAAAGTGTGGCTTAAAGTAATTTATTTAGTGTTATTATCGAACAGTTGTTAAAAAGCTTACATATCTATATAAAAAAAAATCTTTAACTCTTTGATTCCAGGTAAGGAAAAATGAGCATCGAAGTTAGAAATTAAGATTTTGTAAGTTTGCCACAGATAACTAATATTATCTATCAAAATTTTAATAATCACCAATGAAACACAAAGAAATTAGACAAATAGAATTGATACAAATGACCTTGTTTTAGTACCTACTACGAAGGGTGATCAAAAAGTTTGCGAACTATCTCTTTATCTACAAAACCACAATTCAGATTAGAAACAAATTTTGTGCACACAAAGCCAAACACAAGATCTATAAATAGCATATGCTGAATTAAGTTTTGCTCCTTGTCCGTGACGTTACAATGTGAAAATTACGTCATTATGCAGGTACTTGTGACGAAAAATGGTTGTTCAACAACTCGTTCAACAAACAACTATAATATTTATGGTACATGTATATCTTTGAAATGCATTTGAAGTAGCATATAAGAATTTGTTTAAAGTTTATTAAGACTAATGTCTTCCTGTCATTTCAATCAATGATTGGATAGATCGTTTTAGTGAAGGAAATCAGATTGTTATGATGCCCGGTGAAAGCAAGTTTGAAAAGGGATGTGTTTTTAATTAATCAATATGCTGTCAAAGACCTCCAACTTACACTTTGAAAAATATTTGAATATTTCAACAATAATATAACTATCAAATACCTAAGATATCGTTTACTTTTTGATCACCCCTCGTATACTGTGTCAAATAAACATTTACAATTTTCATTACAGCGGAGCAATATTTAAAAAGGAATGAAATCATTTAAAGTGAGTTAGGAGATTTAATGAATAAAAAAACCTTTTTTATTTGCCCATATTGTCAGAATTACAATTTTACAAAGTAAAGAAATAAATCAACATAATTAAATATTTTATACTTTCTTTAAAGTGACGTTTGGTGGTCCCCAAATACTCAGGGAAAAATTATTTGGTCCGTATTCATAGGTGAGAAAAAAAATTCTTAAAATTTTAAAATATTTGTTGATGGAGGAAAAAGAAAAAAAATATTGTGTAATGGGATGTAAAAAAAATGAATCGTTATCCCCGTAGATCGGGAGTGAGGGCAACCAAATACTTTTATAACAACAATAGTTGTAGCCATATCATCAATGAATCGAACTAACACCATTTTCAATGCATTTTACATCTCGTGAATGCTGTAGCTGTGCAGTTCTATCATGATTAATTTCCTTCTAATTAAAACAAAATAAACTTAATTATTTACTAATCTTGGATTCTAACAGTAGGTAATAAGTGCATTAGCATTTTGAGTAACTTTTGGCTCGTTTAGAGGAGTATTAACGAGGCTAGGGGGTCGCAGCCATTTTTAGACTATTTCAATCTCCTTTAAAAGGAGAGCTCCATATAAAGATATACAAAAATGATGAAATTTTAAAACTAAAATCTTTGATTTTTTTCTTTTTCAAATGATAGTTGACAGCTAAAGATACCATATCTAAAAAAAATGCGTTAAATCTGGTGGTTAATTTGGGATTTATTTGTTGACCCTCCAGCCTCCTTAAAGCTGAACACTACTCGTAAATAGGCATAGTCCGCCATATTTCCCGTTCTTCAACGCTCTCCCTACAACTCGTATATAAGGAGCAGATCGCTAGTCAGTTTAATGAATTTCACTATAGAGATCCGACGAGTGTAGACGTACATCGTACAAAGCGTGCTACTCAATATTGATGAAATTATCAAATTTTACGCATTTTTTCCGAAATAGGACAAAAGTATCGTGGAAAATGCAGGTCAAAACATTATTTACAAACAGAAAATGCACATAAAAAACAAGAAATTTACTCAAAAAATCTAAGACCACGATAGGAGTACTACATGTCAGCCATGAGTTTTGAGTGTGTAATCGGGTGTAACGAAAGCGAACGATTTATATACCCGTCTGACGGTGCCTATTTATGAGAAGTGTTCAGCTTTAAGGAGGCTGGAGGGTCAACAAATAAATCCCAAATTAACCACCAGATTTAACGCATTTTTTTAGATATGGTATCTTTAGCTGTCAACAATCATTTGACAAAAAAAATTAAAGATTTTAGTTTTAAAATTTCATCATTTTTGTATATCTTTATATGGAGCTCTCCTTTTAAAGGAGATTGAAATAGTCTAAAAATGGCTGCGACCCCCTAGCCTCGTTAAGTCATATCTGATAAATTTGTAAGTTTTGGAAGTAACTTACACATTCAGAAAAATTTAAAACAATATTTATTTTAATAATATGAAAACTTTGGGGAAAATCTAGGCAATTTTGAAAAAAAAATTTTAGGCCAAAGTAAGCTACTTTATTCTCAAGTCAATGTACGTTTCTACTTCTCGGTATTCTCGGCTAATTGCTTCGTGATTGGGAGGCCCGAGTTGAGTCTAATTCGTTGCGCTGCGTCAAAGCTAGGACGCAGGTATGGGTAGTGACAGTTCCTGGCACTAGATGTTTAACGAGGCCAGTGGGTTGCAGCCATTTTTGGACTATTTCAATCTCCTTTAAAAGGAGAGCTCCATATAAAGATATACAAAAATGATGAAATTTTAAAACTAAAATCTTTGAATTTTTCTTTGTCAAATGATAGTTGACAGCTAAAGATACCATATCTAAAAAAATGCGTTAAATCTGGTGGTTAATTTGGGATTTATTTGTTGACCCTCCAGCCTCCTTAATTGAACTGTCATGTTAACAGAATACCCGCTTTCGATTCTTCGCAAGTGGTACAAAATCTTGTCTATGATATATTAAAAAGAATGGTTCCACAATGCGTTGAAAATATTGATTTAAAAGAAAGCAATAATAAGATTTCCAATGAATTTTTCTTGATCATAGTTAACTAAATATAACATGCAGAAGATAAAAAAAATTAACATAAAGATATGGTATAAATAAATATTATTATTTTAACTCCTTTTAATACATGTAAGTTTTTATTGTAGAAACAGGATTGTTTTTGGGAGAGTCTTTGGACATTAGTATCTGAGAACGACAAGACTTGGCTCCAAAAATGCATTGGCGAAAAGGAATTTGCATTAGGACTCATAGAAATGAATGAACAAGGAACATTTTCACTGCAGAGTCTTAAAAATGCAATCGTTGAGGTTGTATCGAAATATATGGACACAAAGATAGAAGTCCCATCGGCATGGGCTCTTCTTGAACATCTCTTGAAAAAAACAGAAAAGCCAATCTTGTCAGTTAGTGACATCAACAGAGAGAATGAGAAACTTCCGGAAGAATACCAGTTGAAGAGTCAGGAAGAAATTCTCGATTTCCTATCTTTTTTCCATGGGCATGGATTGTTACTCTTTTTTAAGGAAGATGAACTGAGTTCACATGCGATTCTTGGGATACAATGGTTTTCTAATGCGTTTAGTAAACTTATTGCCGACAAGGAACACATCAACAGGGACTGCAAACGAAGATACATCAAAGAATGGAACAATTTCAATGCCACAGGAAACCTGCCTAATTCACTTGTTGATGCTCTATGGAAAGAAGAACCGACGTATGCTCAATACAAGACAGAACTTATGTCATATATGGAAAGACTGCGAATGTTAGTCAGAATTGACAGAACAGAAGACGATATCTCTTGGTATGTGCCCTGTATGAATAAAAAGTGTTTCACACACGACGTCTTTGAAAGGAAACTAGAAAAATCATCTGTTTTGTGTTTTCGATTCACGTCTTTTGCGATGTTTATGTATTACAGGCTTATTGCATATTGCATGAGTTTTCTTAAGTGGGGTGTACCATCAGATAAAAAGGGAAGCCAATGTTTGTATCACACAGCTGCGATATTTGAAACCCTGAATCATACTGTTGTTGTTGGCATTTCTGACAATGACATCCAAGTGCAAGTCTTGCGAAGCAATAATCTGCATCCAGAAGTTTCCTGTGAAATTGGACAAGCTATTGAAATCACCTTATCACAATTGACGAAGACATTTGATGAGAAGAAAAATTTTCAAAAGGGCTATAAATGCCTTAATATTTTCTGCAGTAAAGGTGATACGACATTCATTCCAGAAAATAACGTATATGAAATAAAGGACTCTGTGATTCAATGCAACTGTCCGATAGGGAAGAGACATGACATAGATGTTCCATGGACATTAGGATTTTGGAAAAAGGTACATATAATGATTTAGTTTGATTAAGGATATGTTGAGTTTACATCCAGATCTTTTGATCTATGCCAATTTGCGATATAATAACTTTTAGTGTTATGTAGTGTCAATTTTTTCACTTTTTATTTTGGCATATTTTTAAATAAAGACGTCATAATATTTCGGCATGATGAAGCGAGTATTTACTTCTAGTGTTTTTTCAGTCGATAACATATTTTATGAATAAATTACGGGTTTCAAGAAATGTAAAATTTCAAAATACTGATGTTCGTGCTTCCTTAACATACCAGCGTAAAGCAAATTATTCGTATGTATTTTCTATATGCCCACAATACCCTTAGACTTGCTTTCTTGACACATTTCTTTGGGTCAATATGAATTCATATCATTATCAATTTTGCTAAACTGCAAAATTCATCATTTATTTCAGGCAAAAGAAAATGATATGGAATTATCCCAAAATCTGAATGCGAATCACGTAGTTGAAAGTACATGTAAGTCTTCGCTAAATAAAAACTCTTTACATTTTACATTCTTTACATTTCGTTACATCTTTAAAATAAGAATGAAATTAAGAGTAGTTTTTCATATTATTTTTATGTCTGAAGAGTTTTTTTGACTTAAACTTGTATTTTGATTATTCCAATTGAATTACATAGATTAAAAAATGTCTCAATATTTCAAATCTTTAACATTGAAGTGTCTGCCAAGGAGTCAAAAAAGCGGAACTGGGAGATGTTTGAAAAACTGACAGAAATTTCTCGAGATGTGTTGCAAATCTATTTCGACAACAATATACCTCCACAAGATCTAGAAAAAGTATTGACAACATACAAGGACGATATGAAGAAAGGTCCTTACAGATTTGGGGAAGAACAGCTGAGGGTTCTATTTCCAGGTTTGTTTATATGTCTAGAGACTTTGACATAGTTTGCTACATCAGATCTTTTGTTTGTTGTTCTGTAAACAGAAAAGAAGAGTTTCTTTAATGAAGGTACTCAACTGTCTTTAACCACAAAATAGTTAAACAAAAGGCCCAGGGGCCACAGCGCTCACCTGGGCACATCGGGCTAGAATTTACCCCCCCCCCTTCCAGGTATTCATCATTTGAACAAACTAGAACCTACACTACCTGAGGATGATTCCATATAAATATCAATAATCATAGCTTTGAATTACACTGTACTTGAAAAGAAGATATTAAAAGGTTTCCCTATATATCCCTATGTAAAACTTGGGTCGGCCATTTTGGCCCCGCCCTAGCCCCGGGGGTCATGATGTGAACAAAATTGAATCTACACTACCTGAGGATGATTCCACATGAGTTTCATCTTTATTGGCCCAGTGGTTCTTGAGAAGAAGATTTTAAAAGATTTTTCCTATATATTCCTATGTAAAACTAGAGTCGGCCATTTTGGCCCCACCCTTGCCCCGGGGGTCATGATTTGAACAAACTTGAATCTACACTACCTGATGATGATTCCACATGAGTTTCATCTTTCCTGTCCCAGTGGGTCTGGAGAAGAAGATTTTTTAAGATTTTTCCTATATATTCCTATGTAAAACTTGGGTCGGCCATTTTGGCCCCACCTTTGCCCCGGGGGTCATGATTTGAACAAACTTGAATCTACACTATCTGAGGATGATTCCACATGAGTTTCATTCTTCCTGGTCCAGTGGTTCTGGAGAAGAAGATTTTTAAAGATTTTTTCCTATATATTCCTATGTAAAACTAGGGTCGGTCATTTTGGCCCCACCCTAGCCCCGGGGGTCATGATTTGAACAAACTTGAATCTACACTACCTGAGGATGATTCCACACGAGTTTCATCTTTCCTGACCCAGCCGTTCTGGAGAAGAAGATTTTTTAAAAATGCCATTAATTTTTAACAAATTCATGATTATCTCCCCTTGGAAAAGGGCGTGGCCCTTCATTTGAACAAACGTAAATCCCCTTCACCCAAGGATACTTTGTACCAAGTTTGGTTGAAATTGGCCCAGTGGTTCTTGAGAAGAAGATGAAAATGTGAAAAGTTTACGACTACAACAACGACAACGACGACGACAACAACGACGACAGACAACGGACGAATTTTGATCAGAAAAGCTCACTTGAGCCTTCGGCTCAGGTGAGCTAATAACACATTTCTAATGAAAACTAAATTTGAATCACTAAATTTAGATGCCAAGTCTGTAAAAATGTGTAACTTGTGCAAATATTTAGTAAATAGCTGACTCGAATAAAAAAAACTGTATTTTATTACATATGAGTGATGAGTGTGATTTTATATAAATATTGCGTGTAGTTAAGTGTAATATTGATAATTATCACCCCAAGAAAACCATTGTAAACCGAAGCACAGCCGAAGTTGACAATGGTGAAAATTTTCAATGTTACACTAAACTACATGCAATATTTATTATTTTATACTGAATGTTTAATACAAATACATTTAACAGTGAACCGTGCGCGCATAAATTCTGCGCAGTCGCTATTTTTTGGAATATCACCCGTCGTCAAGCCATGTTTACTGTGCTACGCTGAAAGGCGTGGCTTCATTTTTCTATGGATAATAGTGTTTTTTAACAAATGTTTCTTGTCCTATCAGATTTAACCAATTTACAAAAATATTGTTAAAGAAACTTTAAATTAAAAGGTGACGGAAGTTGTGTAACATCTTCTTCATTCGACATTACGATGATGTACAAGTTATTGAGAAACTATCAAGGGAAAGATCTGCCAGGTTGGGGAAAGAAACCAGAAACTGAAGACATAAATGAAGTCAACGACGTAGAGCGAATCCGATGGTACAGAAACAAAATTTATCATGCAGTGTCAGAAACAAAGGTCCTAGAAAAGGATGTATTTGAAAAATACTGGTTAGACCTATCTCAGGTGAGAACTAATTTTGATTTTAAACAGTCCATCCCCAATTTGGTAAATCCTATCAGACGATTTACATGAATTACATTTTATTTTGTAAAATAAAATGCAACAGTGAAAACAATTAGGTATCTTTAAAAAAGCATACAGTTTTAGGAAATATTTACCTGAAAAGAATATTAAGATATCACAAAACGGTATAACTATATCATTTTTCAATGCCTATCACTGTTTAACATGTTTAAAGGAATCTTTTATTTTCTTTCCAACTCTTAGGCTATAGAGAGACTTAGCAAGGGGGAATATAGAGCAGCTATAGAAGAACTAAAATTACAGATTTAAGGATTAAGTTACTTAATAGAAAATCTTGCTGTGATGAAATAAATATGTGGATGGCTGATGTTTCAAAAAATTTGCCGTCAAAGTTGTGGTTTCTTTGAACAACATAATTATTTGAAATGAACAGGAAACCTTCTTCTATTTACGACCGATAATATAATAACTGCAATAAAATAGTTTACTACAATTATTCTTTAAAGAGTTACTTTGTCAGTTACGCATTGATAGCCATTGAAACTCTGTTATACAAACATTCATTTTTTGTTAGATTTATGATCTTGTACATGTATATGCAGTGTATGTGTACATATTTTAGTGAATATAACTCTGCATCTTTTATTTGAGTTTTAATTGTTTCAACTAAAGTTGATCAATTGTTGAAAAAAAATTCATTAGATGCGTGCATGGAAGGAAACTATCACAATAATTAAAACAAGAATATCAACAGTCTCGTTGAAAGTCATAATTTCTATGTTCTATGGATGATATAATGACCTCGTCAGCAAATACATTGAAATATTGGAAGATAACAAACGGGATTCAAGATAAAAAATCCACAAACCAATACCAAAATAGAAGCAGATCAAATACGGACTCCAAACATCAGAGATGGGATCATGTGTCATGGTGGAGTGAGCATCCCCTGCTGACCAGTAACACACGCCGTGTGCTACTTGTTAAGATCGGGAAATAACGGGAAAATCCTTCGTCAATTTAGTGTATACCATGGACTAACAATTGGTATGGAAAACTTCAGTCGACATTTGAATGATAAATGGTATTTGCTGACAAGGTCATTGTATCTACCAAAGAACTTACGAAATGATGACTTTAAACGAGACTGTTAATATTCTTAACTTATCAAGTTGTTTGTCAATAATTTACCTCGTTTAAGAAACTGTTCTTTGGTTCATACGTAGAGCTTGTTCTGGCGTATTGAATCAACTTAGATATGACGGTAAGGTGATGAACAGGATATTGTTACTGCATAAGTAAGAGAAGTGATACATGTATGTAAGATTCTATTATCTTTTTTCTCAAGCTCAGCAAACAAAAATTTAGATTAAAAAATCCATAAAACAAATAGGAACAGAGCAAAAACGGACCTAAAAATTATCAGAGGTGGGATCAGGTGCCATGGAGGAGTGAACATCCCCTGCTGACCAGTCACACCCGCCGTGTGCTCCTTGTCATGATCTGGAGAAAGCGGGAAAATCCGTCCTCAATTCAGTGTATGAATAATGGACTGACAATTGGTATGAAAAACGTCCGTCAACATTTTACTCAACAATAAATTGTATTTGCTGACAAGGTCATTGTATCGAACATAGAACTTTCAAAATGATTGATGTTCTTTCAATACAATTGATATTCTTGCTTTATCAGCTTATTTGTCAATAAATTACCTCGTTTTAAAAAATATTCATACGAAGTGCGTTTTTTGCATATCGAATCAACCGGAATATATTAATTCTGTTGGCAGGTGATGAAGGTATATCCCTGCAAAGTGTAAATGAAATTGATGATTCAAACGTTTAAGTCATTCACGTTTATCATACAGCTTAGTTGGTAGATTAGATTACTGTTAATATCTATTTCAATTGAAATATTCAAATATGAAACAGATGTGTCAAACTCTGTGTTATCTATTATCTTAAGCGCACCAGCATAAAGCATATTGATATATGAACAGAAAAAACAATTTTAAATTGAAATGAAAAAAATTTGTACTTTATTCCTTATATTTACATGTTCTTGATTCTGCAAAGATACGTGCTTTAGCCACGCGCCTGTCTCTACTTATCGATGAACTAGTAGATTTGATTTGGTTTGAACATATATTTTATTGTATAAATACTAAACGAATGGTTTGAACACAAGTTCTAAACATTTACTATATTCTCACAATACAACTGTCAATGTCTATACATAGGTAGAAATAAAGCACATAACCTATTTGTAATTATTTTTCAGACAAATACATTTGGAATGGAGATATTTTTCTATATACTACATGTATATAAACTGCATGACAGACATGGACAAACTGTGATCAAAATAGCTCAATTTAGCGATAACTTAACAAACATATTGCAATATAAAGAAATCCGATTACTGTTGACATTATCATCGAATAAATCAAATTAAATTTAAAAAATAATGATAATAAAACAAGATAATTAAATACATGTAGAAAATACATCTTATGGATTATTTTTAGCTCACCTGAGCCGAAGGCTCAAGTGAGCTTTTCTGATCACATTTTGTCCGTCGTCCGTCCGTCTGTTGGTCCGTCCGTCCGTCCGTCCGTCTGTCTGTCCGTCTGTAAACTTTTCACATTTTCGACTTCTCCTCAAGAACCACTGGGCCAATTTTGACCAAACTTGGTACAAAGCATCCTTGGGTGAAGGGAATTTAAAATTATAAAAATGAAGGGACATATCCCCTCGCAAGGGGTGATAATCAAGAAAAGACAAAAATAGGGTTGGGTCAGTAAAAAATCTTCTTCTCAAGAACCACTGGGCCAGTAAAGCTGAAACTTATGTGGAAGCATCCTAGGGTAGTGTAGATTCTAAATTGTACAAATCATGACCCCCGGGGGAAGGGCGGGGCCACAATAGGGAATCAAAGTTTTATAAAGAAATATATAGGAAAAATCTTTGAAAATCTTCTTCTCAAGAACCTCTGGGCCAGAAAAGCTGAAACTTATGTGAAAGCATCCTGGTGTAGTATAGATTCTAAATTGTTCACATCATGACCCCGGGAGAAGGGCGGAGCCACAATGGGGAATCAAAGTTTTACATAGAAATATATAGGAAAAATCTTTGAAAATCTTCTTCTCAAGAACCATTGGGCCAGAAAAAGTGAAGCTTATGTGGAAGCATTCTGGGGTAGTGTAAATTCTAAATTGTAGGAATCATGACCCCCGGGGGAAGGGCGGGGCCACAATGGGGAATCAAAGTTTTATATAGAAATATATAGGAAAAATCTTTGAAAATCTTCCTCTCAAGAACCACTGGGCATGAAAAGCTGAAACTTATGTGAAAGCATCCTGGTATAGTAAAGATTCTAAATTGTTCACATCATGACCCCCGGGAGAAGGGCGGAGCCACAATGGGGAATCAAAGTTTTACATAGAAATATATAGGAAAAATCTTTGAAAATCTTCTTCTCAAGAACCACAGGGCCAGAAAAGCTGAAACTTATGTGAAAGCATCCTGGTATAATGTAGATTCTAAATTATACAAATAGTGACCCCCGGGGGAAGGGCGGAGCCACAATGGGGAATCAAAGTTTTACACAGAAATATATAGGAAAAATCTTTGAAAATCTTCTCAAGAACCACTGAGCCAGAAAAGCTGAAACTTATGTGGAAGCATCCTGGTATAATGTAGATTCTAAATTGTTCAAATAATGACCCCCGGGGGAAGGGCGGAGCCACAATGGGGAATCAAAGTTTTATATAGAAATATTTAGGAAAAATCTTTGAAAATCTTCTTCTCAAGAACCACTGGGCCAGAAAAAAGTGAAGCTTATGTGGAAGCATTCTGGGGTAGTGTAAATTCTAAATTGTGGGAATCATGACCCCCGGGGGAAGGGCGGGGCCATTATAGGGGAATCAAAGTTTTACTTTGAAATATATATGAAAAATCTTTGAAAATCTTCTTCTCAGGAACCACTGGGCCAAAAAAGCTGAAACATATGTGCCCATGGAAGGATCATGGGGTAGTGTAGATTTCAAAATGTATAAATTGTGATCGGTGTGATAGGTCGGGAATGCATTATGTATAACAAGCGGGAAATCTGGTAAAGAACAGAATGGTCAAAGCTTCTCAGGAGAGCGATGTGGTCCATGGGCCTCTTGTTTTTTCTTGACATTACCTGTGCTAGTTAGAATATGGAAAAAAAGAAAAGAAAATATGAAAACGCAACGAAGCGTGAAGAATATATAAATAGAAAACTCCCTGTCAGAGCGGAGTATGCATTCACCTCTCACCAGGCCGGAGTGAAGGTAAATATATCTATATATCTACCTATATTGCTATATAACTATCTCATAATTTATAGTCTCTGTTTTGATTTAAATCATATAATTTAATCTGTGCTAAAAAAAAATAATAAACTTGTCTGTTTGTTTGCTTACAGGCTTCAATTTTTTTTTTAATTTTCTTCTAAAGTGCATCATGTTTTAACTTAAATATATGAGTACAATAATATATAAAAAGCATATATTATTTTAAGAACTTAAATTTATTTTTTTTTTCCCTCCATAGTAAGATGGGTGTATCAGACAATCAGTATATATTTTGGAGATTTTGTGTCCTTACTGGTGAGTCCTCTCTCTCTCTCTCTCTCTCTCTCTCTCTCTCTCTCTCTAGATCTCAAATGCTATTTAACTTTCTTTACTACAAATGCTTCAGGGAAATTTTCCTCAATTATAAACATTTCATAACACTTTGTTTATATCTAATCTCTTAAACTTTGTTGCGTTTATATTCTTTTACTCAGTCTTTGGATAAAGTTATAGTTCACTTTTTCGAACGGCCTTGACTTATGGTGCTTTTCATGTTTTATCAACGTTTCTTATTTTTTTTTTAAGAAATGAACTTTTATTCCCCATTCTTTAACACTTAATGACTTGCATTTATTTTCTCCTATTTTTTCATCACTTATGAACTTATTCTCATGGTATTGTTTCCTAAAATGTATTTATAAATCATGCATTGTAGCAAATAAAAAAATTAAATTTATTTTAACCTCAAATGATGTATTTTAAAATAAGTACAACGCATGGAATGTAACACAAACATCATATATTTTAATAAATAACAATGCATAAAGTTTTTCATGTGATCGAAACTCTCATAAATTAAAACGTCTTGACAAATTAGCAAATCAAAACTTAATGAAAAATTATGATTTCAATTTTTCCCGAATTTCTGAAAAAGATAATCTTAATGACTACGGTAGAGTGATAAGCAATGCTATCTCGCTTATTCTGAATTTTGCATGTAGAGTTTTTGATAAATTGATTTGAAATCTAAGTTGTTTGTTTCCCTTTGCTACTTAAGACTCACGTACTTAGCTGATATTTATGATGACGTAGGTCGGGTCGTGTCAGGACATTAAGGAACCCAGGAGATGTAACATTAAGTTTTCGTTTCAAAAATTAAAATCCAATTAGTAAAAGCACGTTGCTACAAGTTGTTAAGCCATTAAAACTCGGAAATATATCCATCTATGACAGATTTTAGAGCGTGGCTTGGCATATATTGTGACTGAGGACTGGAATCAGAGACTTGTGCCATCTTCTATATAGGGATTCAATGAATATGACGAATGTTTGGATTTAATATTTTCACTCACGATAAAAAAATAAGTTCTTTAGATTATTTGACCTCTAAAATTATTGTTACAAAATCACAAAAAAAGATTTTTTTTTCAGTACTTTGTAATATTTAAATCTATGTCACTAAGCTTGACCTTCTTAAATAATGAAAACAAATATAGAACACTTTCGGATCCTTGCAGATTTTATATGCATTTAAGCAGCATAAAATAAGTTTATTTGAAAAGCAAATGAGATGTATGTTGCAATTAGATAAAGACTCCATATCTTGCAGTTTGAAAATTTTAAACATAAATATTCATATGTCGGCAATAACAGCTGGCTGACATAACAAAAAAACAGGTGAAAATGTACAATTTAATGAACTTCTGTATTGTCTATAAATGATAGCTTTCTTCATCAAATATCTAAATGTTAAAAATTAAGGTGATGTCAAAGAGAATAAAAAGAAAAACAAAGAAATAAATAAACAAAAACGAAACAAAAAAACATAATTATCTTAACATCAAAGAATGTGTCAATTTTTTACATGGAATTTATATAGTGTCGGATTTAGAAATTTACTACATAACCAGTAAGTTACAAGGAAGAATAAAACCACGGAATTAGAATTTGTTCATTAAGGAACGCTTACTGTAATGGCTGTACGGTTATCCCGTAAGAGGAAATCTGTGACAGCCTCATCACTTAACTCAAAATTTACATAATTAAAACATTGCGATATATAAAATTTATTTCTCAAGCTGAAACATTTATACAGGTTTAAAGACAGTTTTATATATTATTTTTTCTAAATATTATTTTTCTTTCATCTAAAAAAAAGCCACATTAAAGGACGTGAAAGAGAGTGAAATCTAAGATTTTTTAAATATCCTTTTTTCGGTTATAAGACAATTTTTGTGGTAATCTTGCCTTTACATCTTTCATAAATATATATCACGAAAGTAATATAACAAAATATTATCCTGATATTTGTTGATTATACCTACAGAAATTATGGCATCAAGATCTGGGAATTTACAGCTTACTCTTATAAAAGCCATATCACATAGCTTTGCATATTTTGTATCATTTGCAAATTTTAAAATAACCACACAAACAGAAGCCTATATCACGCTTTTCTCTTGTTTTAGTGGCTTCCTGGTTCGTACTTCCGGTTTACAGCCAGGGTTTCCATGGAGCCGGTACGCAGTCACACATGCACGTGTCTCCCTCGAGGTACGGCGCCGTAAATCCTTCCGCGCCTTCCGGCCAAATTATTCAGAATTCAGCTTTTCCAAAACAAAACAGTGTAAAGTACTCGGCAAAACGAAACGCGACAAAACCCGGTCTTTGTCCGTCTGTTGTTTTGATGACGTCAAAGAAATGCCCGGATGCTTGTGGAGATGATAATGACTGCGCAGGAATGACAAAATGTTGCCGTAATGGCTGCGGTAAAAAATGCACAGAGCCGGAAATACCAGCAATCAGTCCTGTGAGCTCGGCGCCAACTGAGCAGATCTCAAATAAATCTGAAATAGCTCCAGTAGTCGCCTCGTCTCAAATGAACAGTTCACATGTTTACTCCAATAATACTCAAAGTACTGAAGCGCCACCTAACAGTGGACCCAATAATCAACAGAATCAATCAACTAATGGACATCAAAATATTAATCCGGTTGGGGGACCTAGTTTTAATAATCACAACACGAACAGAGCAGACTTTAGGAATGGACCCATTCCATTTAGCTTCCGCCAAGTTTCGAAGGGCGGATCTAATTCAAACGGTCCGGGAGGAGAATATAACAATCAATACCCTGCGTCAAGCAATCTACCTCCAAACCCCATTAACAGGGAAATTCCAAACAACAATTTCAGAGGGGGACCTAGGAATCAACCGTCTCCTGAATTAGGAAATTCCGCAAGAAATTTTAACAATTATCCACCTGGTTCTGATGGAATGCCATACAATAGCAATTATAATGGCGGATTTCACAACCAACAACAAGGATTCCAGAACTTTGTTCCAACGGACGTGTCAAGCACCATATCACCTAGAGTTATGGGAGGTCAAAATCATAATATGAATATATATAATGGACAGCCTCAATACAACAATCCAAACGAGGCTCAACAGGGATATCAATACAATAACTCTCCGATGGACGCTTACAATCCAGTGGGCGGATATGACCCTACAAACACACACATTAATCAACAGGGCACACCGAGTCCTCAGTTTGACTCTTACAATAACCCACCACAAGGGCAGGGAGGACCTAATCAGTATTCTAATTCTTATCCTGTTGGTGCCTCTTCTGTTCAATCAGGTCACCAGTATAGCGACCCTCTCGGCGCAACAAATACTCACCCAGGTCCTCAAAATAACCAGCATGTTAACTCATTAGGAGAAACAAATTTCCAGCCAAATTCTCCATATAATCAGTATCCACACCATGTAGGCGGATCAAATGTCCAGCCAGGTCCTCAAAATAATCATTATTTTAGTCCTGTTGGTGGATCCAATACTCAGCCAGGTCCTCAATATAACCAGCCCTCTAACGTTGTCGGCGGATCAAATCCTTCAAACAACCAACATTCTTTTCCTGTGGGCGGATCATACAATGTGCCTCATGATACTCCTGGTAATTATCCCGGCTTTGATACATCTGTTGTAGGATCAAATCATCAACCAGGCCCAAGGAGCGGATCTAATGCTGCTACATATAATCAGCCGCATAATCAGGCTCCAGAATTTATTCAAAAGAGTCAACAGAATCTCGCATCTAATTACGAACCAGAAAGCGGATCCAACCAAAACGTAGCATCTCATTTTCAACAGGGACCTCCGCGTGTTGAGTATAACAATCAGTACGACCCTGAGATAGCTAGAATGAACCACCACGGAAGTCAACCAGGAATTCCATATGACAGCCCGTCACAGTCACAAAATACGTACAAAGGTCAAAGTCCACATCAACAACACCAAGTTGGCGGATCTAATATCCGATATGATAATGCTCCCAGTAGACAACACCTTCAAAGCCACCAAGGAGTCGGACCCAATAGTAATAATCGTGGATCTTACAGTGTTCCTCTGTATCAGACAACTCCTTTATACGACGCTCGCGATGTTTTTTGCCCCAAGCCCCGAGGCGGCGGTGTCTGTCAAGATGATTGTTATTCAGACAGTGAGTGCATGACCGGAAGGAAGTGCTGTTCTAACGGATGTGGGAGAATGTGTATGGTGCCTGTGTTCGTAAGATCACAGCCAATTCGTACTGCCCCCGAAGCGATCCAAATACCATTGAAACAGGAACACCAAGTTCAGGGTAATGCTATAAATAGCATTGATCCCCACTCATTAAATCTAATTGAAATCCGCCCCTACAGCGTTGGAGAGTCACACAGCGCTGTACAGATTCTTCCGTACGATCACAGTGGCGGCCATTACGATGTAGGTCACGAGAATACTATATATAACGAGCTGGTCAATGGGCCGCCTCAGTACAGTGAAGCGTATACAAGTGAACCTCAATATATTAAATCGGGTTTGGGCAGAGGCCATACTCTGGATGGACTTCAATCAGATAAAGCAAACGTCCTTCCGGGAAGCGCCGTGAAGTTGAAGCCAAGCGTCTTCGGAAGTTACAAGATTCTTCCGTTTAACATGGAGAAAATAAGAAGACGAAATTCTGGAATAAGCAATCAATCCGGAGGTATACAAAACTATGGTCCGGAAGTTCATAAGTCTCAATCGTTCGATGTTCGGAAGCCGGAGACCAAACAGAGAACCCCTCACGTAAACTCAGCAAATAAAGGACAAAAAGGCATCGGTTCTGAACCTTGGAACATGGGTCCAAAAGTTCAAGGAGGTCAAAGGACATTTAAACAATCAAGACCTAATGTGCAATCACCAAATGCCAGAATGGAAAGACACGAAAATTTAAAAACTGAGCAACAAAATACAAGAGAGCAAAACGAACCTCAGAGAAAAATTAAACAGTATCCTGAAGTTAAACGTCCCCAGAGAACGCTGCCGAATCGCCTTGGACCGGAAGTGAACAACGAACAGCAAAGAACCACAGCAGGTGTGATACCAATGGTTAATCAGAATAAACCTTCTGTGGTTGGACAAAATGCTGGAGGAGGGAATGTTGTAAGAAAAACGAATCCAAACACATTTAAAATCCGAGAAAGTCGAAATCATAATGGGGCCCTCAAAATTACACCTTTAGAAACTAAAAAATTCGGATCACAAAGTATTCAAGCTTCTAATCTGAAGCCAGTTGAGAAATCAATAATGCAAAATTTTCAACGCGATCATCCTATGGTGGTCAAAAAAGAGGGACCAAAGATCAAATATACGCCGACAAGGGAGACAAAGAGCACTGGCCGGCCAGAGTCTACCTATGCCGGTCCTCAGAAACCCAGTCCGGCTCATACACCAGACATAAACCAGAGCCCGAGTACAGGCCATACGCCAGGTATATACAGGAGCCCGACTCCCGGACTAACACCCAGTATCAACAGGAGTGGTAACCTACGACTGACCGCCACAGAGGCACCCGTCAGGGACCCAGGAGTTAACCAGAAAGGGGAGATGAATCTACAAGGTCCGAAAAAGAGAGATCCAAGTCACACAGATCCTGTCAAGGAAGCCGCGCTAGAAGGACCAAACATGAATCTGAATCCTGTGAATTCCATCGATTACAAAAACGGCTATAGGAAGAATGTTCATGATCCGATGGTTGGTCCGTCTGCTCCTCAGGAATTAAACCCCTCGAATCAGTTTGAGGCAGGAATGATCCGCCCGATGCCAAAATCAGGAGGCTCCTTCAGTCTCACAGGTGGCGGGAAAGATCCAGGAAGTAACATGTACACCGGATCTGAACCACTGCAATACAACGCAGCTAATCTAGGTATTAGTGATTACGGTCATCCAAAAGCAAGTGCTTTTGAGTCTCAGCCAATAAGACGCCAATGGTTAGGTCAAAGTTTATTAGGTCAAAGTCCAATGGGTCAAAGTTCGAGTCATTCCATGCTGAGCATCAGTAAGATCTATCACGACATAGGTCACAGCCGAGCTATCATGGAACCGCCTAAACCATACGAATTCAGCTCGGAATTCAGACTGAGAGTCACTGAAAGGCCGATCCCGACTTATCGTCCACCCGTGAACTCCCTCGGTCAGGTGTATATCGACATCGCAGGATTCTCGGACAATTCATTAAAAGCTCCGCATAATCCCATGAAGCTTAGTTCAGGAGTACCGGGACATATTCCGGAAATAGAAACAACAACAACGCCACCTCCTGAAAAGAGCACTGTAAAGGAATCGCTTATCTCTAACACGACAGATAAAGTTATATCAAACTTACTCCTGAAAAACCCAAAGCCAACAAAGAGCGAAAAGCCCGAAAATCAGCAAAAATATATTCCAGCCGGAATGGTTCTTGCCAGAGGTGCTAATGAATCACTTCCTGTTTCCGATCCAAAACCGTCTCCGTCTGCGCCAAGACTCGGAATCAGCTCAACGTTGATTGGGTCCGCGCCGGTAGCGCCATCAGCGGATATAGACAGCAGAATCGTGAACCGTGAGGGATTTAATCTGTTCACCGGGTACAAGCCTCAGTACCGAGTTCCCGTGAAGGAAATTCGGAACCCGTCCCTGAGAGGAACGCCTGTATTTAGCGCGAGATCCCAAAAGAAGGGCTAAGGCCTTATTACATCATTAACTTTGGAGTTCAAAGTGTCGTGATGGAAGTCTTTTATGCTGAACAAGACATGTTTCGAGTAGGCATTTTTTGAGTGTCGGTTGAGTTATAATGACATTTTTTGTACTTTCTTGGAAAACAAGAGCGTGATGTATGTATTTCACTCTGTGTAAGCTATACTGATGACAAATCCCTTTTAAAGAAGGTTTATGTACTTATTTATTCTAACTTGAAGTTGAATTAGCTTCTATGACTAGGTACTATGACTTTTATTTTCACTTTTTTTTAGCTCAAATGAGCCGAAGGCTCAAGTGAGCTTTTCTGATCAAAATTTGTCCGTCGTCTGTCGTCGTTGGTGTCGTCGGCGTCGTAAACTTTTCACATTTTCATCTTCTTCTCAAGAACCACTGGGCCAATTTCAACCAAACTTGCCACAAAGTATCCTTAGGTAAAGGGGATTCAAGTTTGTTCAAATGAAGGGCCACGCCGTCTTCCAAGGGGAGATAATGATGAATTAGTGAAAAATTAATGGCATTTTAAAAAAATCTTCTTCTCAAGAACCACTCGGCCAGGAAAGATGAAACTCATGTGGAAGCATCCTCAGGTAGTGTAGATTTAAATTTGTTCAAATCATGACCCCCGGGGGTAGGAGGGGGCCACAGTGGCCGACCAAAGTTTTACATAGGAGTATATAGGGAAAATCTTTAAAAATTGTCTTCTCAAGAACCACTGGGCCAGGAAAGATGAAACTCATGTGAAAGCAATCCTCAGGTAGTGTAGATTCAAGTTTGTTCAAATCATGACCCCCCGGGGGTAGGGTGGGGCCACCATGGCCGACCAAAGTTTTACATAGGAGTATATAGGGAAAATCTTAAAAAAAATCTTTTTCCCAAGAACCACTGGGCCAGGAAAGATGAAACTCATGTGGAAGCATCCTCAGGTAGTGTAGATTCAAGTTAGTTCAAATCATGACCCCCTGAGGTAGGGTGGGGCCACAATGGCCGACCAAAGTTTTACATAGGAGTATTAGGGACAATCTTTAAAAATCTTCTTCTCAATAACCACTCGGCCAGGGAAAATGAAACTCATGTGGAAGCATCCTCAGGTAGTGTAGATTCAAATTTGTTCAAATCATGACCCCGGGGGTAGGGTGGGGCCATAATGGCCGACCAAAGTTTTACATAGGAGTATAAAGGGAAAATCTTTAAAAATCATCTTCTGAAGAACCACTAGGCCAGGAAAGATGAAACTCATGTTGAAGCATCCTCAGGTAGTGTATATTCAAGTTTGTTCAAATTAAGACCCCCTGGGGTAGGATGGGGCCAAAATGGCTGATCAAAGTTTTACATAGGACTTGATATGGAAATCTTTTAAGATTGTCTTCTCAGGTACTCCAAAGCCATGATTAGTGATATTTATATGGAATCATTCTCAGGTAATGTTGATTCTAGTTTGTTCAAATTATGACGCCCAGGGGTAGGGTGGGGTCACAATGGGGAATCCAAGTTTAACATTAAATATATTTAAAAAAATCTTATTCTAAAGAAAAGCAAAGCCATGATAAGTGATACTAAATATGGAAGCATTTACTGATAGTGTAGAATTATTATTGTTCAAATCCTGATTTAAATTTATTCAAATCATGGTCCTTTGGGGTAGGGAGGGAAACAATGGGGAATCAAATTCATATTTTTATGAAGTTATATATAGGAAGAAAATGTTTTTAAAATATCTTTTTATCAAGAACAGCAAAGTCATATGCTGTATCAATATGAAAGCATTCCCAAGTAGTATTAAATTCACCCCCCCCCCTTTCTAATTTGTGCTTTTTCCTAGCCGATTTGCTCAGGTGAGCGATGTGGCCCCTGGGCCTCTTGTTTCATTATACAATCAAATTTTCAGCAAACAGAGATTGTCAAGGTTGTTAACGCATGTACAAGTATTCTGTTGGACTATTGGAGTTTTATGAAGAGACTTACTTTTACAGTTGACGACTGACTTTTACAATTTAAAGATAGACAAACTCCAATAACTAAAATGTAAAAGTCAGCTGCCGAATGTAAAAGTAAGTCTCTTCATAAAACTCCTTAACGAGGAGCGCTGACTTTTACAGATGATAGTTTACTTTTAAAATAGGACAATGTACGGTACCTAGCTCTTTTACGATGTACATATTCAGCTAAACATTTAATGAAACGAAACAACGGATAATTTTAATGCACATAAGTTGCCCTTTAAGAAAACGACAACCACCCTACCCTCAACTTCCGACCTTCACATATTAGTGCCCCTAACACCATACCTATGACCACTAGAAAGGTTTTCTTATGTATTATCAATTCTGTACCTCCGTACATGATACAGGTTTAAACTTTCAAATGTAGAACTCAGTGCTTCTCGTAAAAGTCCGTTGAACCTTCAGTACAATGTGGGTTTTTTTTTCTCTGTCTCTGTGTGTTTTAGCTAGAAAATTAAATCATGTAAATAACAACCGTTTGATTGGTTCCTGACATTTGTTTGTTTTTGTTGCTATGGGAACAGTGCAATATTCCTCTGTGATATTTTGTACAATTATAGCCACCCTGTCTCATATTGTGTTGTTCTGTTTACATTAAAACATTCATCAGACTCATTTATCAGGGTGGACTGGAAGCTTTTTTAGATTAAACTTACGAGTCAGTATCTTTCATTTTGAATTTTTCCTTTGTTATCTTCCTTTTCTGATTTTCCACAAAAGAGGATGAGGATATGACTGACATATAGTGTGACCGTCGAGGCCAGCGCAGTTTTTTTTCTTCATATAGTCTATAAATTCAGTATCTAATTGGCTGATTCAATAAAATAATTTGAAGGCATACAAACGCTGTCATTAAACTATCAGTCACTCTAGAGAACATTTGCAAAATTTAAAAAAAATGTTAGCATTAGTTTGTAAACATTGTTTGTGTCAGCCATTACTTCAACATGTTATGGAATCCTTTACGTACGCACTAATTCCGCAGAAAGAGTCAAGCTACTGAATAAAGGGGCATGAAACAATATTTTCTCGATTGAAGTCAACATTTTGCAAATTCAATCGTCGATACAATGACCTTGCCAGCAAGTAAGGAGTCTATTTATTCGTTTCGGTTTGCAATACACGTGGGCACAGGTCCTTTGGGTAAGATAGCTTTTCCATATGAGTGGAGGGTTTTCTGAAAGGGAATAAACAATGTCTTGAATCACAAGCTCACATTTTTTGCAAGACATAAAACTCAAATTTATATTTAACTTATTCCATTGAAATTTTATCTTTATAATGATCTAATTTGTCTTATAATCATTTCTTTCGCCCATGTATATATCTGTTAATATTAAACGTACATCATTGTAGCTTAAAACACGCAATTGTATTTTAATTGACCTTTACTTAATATCTTATTCACCAAACATGTTTTTTTTTTTTAGAAAAAATGGTTGATATTTACGCAGTTCATATTACTCCATAATGTTTATGGATCTCTATTTCATTGTATTTTAAATCATTTACACGAACCTTCAAATAAATTTTAAAAACACGTACGAAAGTCCAGGATCCATCCCCCTGCAATGCATATTTGTCATAAAGCATGGAGTTAAAAGGAAAGTGTGATATATTTTTTTTCTTTAAAAAAATTGAAGCTGTTGAATTAAGAGACAATGTCTCTAACGGACTTATAAATCACGCGGACTTAGGGCGTTGTTAGGTCAATAAAAACAATGTATTCATACAGCTGTCCAATTGTTACTAAAATTAACTCATGTATAATGCATTTTATATTATATTATATAAACACGTGTAAATGCCATGTTTCTTTCCTTCTCCCTTTGACAGATTTCTGCAGTACACTAATTAAAGTGGACTGAACAGCGAGAACCTACTTCTTCTAATTAAAGAGATTTTTAATAAGACAGTGACTGATTAGAAATTCGTTTTTTATGCACGCCGTCTCGAATTCCTGTCTTCATCAAAGGTAACACCTGTAAGGCATAGTAAGATGTATTTATTGTATACCTGTGAAGACCCTTACTCCCCCCGCCCCCGCCCCATGCACCACTACCACCTTCAACACCACCGATAACTAATTAGCTAACATCCATTTCCCTTAAAAATATAATTCATAAAAATGAAATTACAAAACATAAAATCCAAAACTATATATAAGACCGACGAGCTTGAACTTGCGAACAGTGTATATATTTTGTTCATAAATTAGTTTTATATTTATTGTATACCTGTAAACAACCCCCCCCCCCCCCCCGTGCACCACCACCACAACCAGCAACAACCAACGATAATTACATCATCGAACATCTCTATCCCCTAAAAATGAAATTTATAGAAATTAAATTCTAAAAAATGAACCCCAAAACTACATGTATGAGACCGACGAACTGAATTTGATCTTGTATATTTAATGTGCATTAACAGACCCAAAAATTTGTGTGAACCTCATTTTTAAATTATACAATTCTCAAAAGAACAAAAAAGTACTTTGTACATTAAATAGCTCTGTCGTCAATAAGAATTCTTTCAAGCTTTTCTTTCTGAAAAGAGAACGTTAAGCATAAAGTCAACAGGTTTTGTTTTTTTTTAATATTTGGTTTATGTCCTTTTTTGGTTTTTTCATTTTTTTTTTTTTTTTTTTAGAAAAATTCAATTTCATGCAGATAAATATTTTTCTTTAAAAATTTAGCGATATTTTACGGCAAGTTTCAATCTATGGTACAACAACTAACACTCCGATTCGTTTTTATTTTAAGAAACTCTTTACATTGTAGTGTCATGAAACAAGCAATTTGACAGGACAGATTTTTCCTCCATTTAAAACACCACTACATAAATATCCATTGAGATTCTTTTAAAAGCAGTTAAAGAAGAGACCAGATTCTCTATAATTAATCTTCCCTAGACAGACCTGTGTGTAAAACATATGTCCATTAGTCCGTTTGTCAAACAAGAATATGTCTTCATTAGTGGCGGCATTAATCATGCCACTTCACAATGCTAAAGAACTATTAGTTAATATTTGAAATTTAAATTTTCATTCTGTGCTTAAATCGGTAAATTGCAAAATAATATTTTGTTTATGTTATATTTTAAGAAATGAAATTGAGAATATATTGTACTTTAATAAAATAATAAAAGTAAAAAAAATAGCATTGCATCTAATTGTCGTTCAAAGTGAGGCTGATGGGTACCATAAGAATTGTCAAAATATCAACAACAACAAAATTTCGTACTCATCCCCTTGACAAAAAA